TCAAGCCTCTCGCTTGAAGCTCTATGTTCCACTGGGGAACGTGAAGGAAAAAAATTCTGGTTGCTAATCACCTGTTGACTGAAAATTACCTGTTGGTGTTTACTGTTGATGATGTAATAATACTTCTTTGCATATTTAACTGGACACTGGGTGTGCTATGATGAGTCGCTGGAAGTTAAAATTACTGAAGACATTGTCAACAGGAAAGTTTTATCACTTTATGGATAGCCTACAGTATCTACCATTTGTAACGCAATATTCAATTATTGCGCGCATTTTAATTAAATTTAAACAATAACAAATGATGGCTAGTGCTATATCGTTTACGTTGCTATTACCTGTGTAAAGTGACCTTATTGGTATTATTCCATAACCTTCTCTTATGATGTATTTTGCGTAACTGAATAATTGTAAATGTGCTTACCTCATGTATCTATATTATTTAAGATATTGATGATGTCCGTAGATTGTCGCCGGAGGTATTAGGCAGCTATCTCAGTAAATGAATGAATGAATGACACGTGACTGCTCATTCATCGTCACACTAGCTACCCATCTCGGTCTTCTTGTTTCACTTCTAATCATACTTAATTCAAAGGAACGAAACAGATTGTTAATTTGAATTCAGACTATTTTAAATACCTTTGAGTTGGTAGACTGTCATTGATGCAATTTAGTACCGACTGATGACTCTCCATTATTTTTATTTCTCTTTCAGCCATCACGCATTACGTTAGTAACAGTCTGCTAACTCAGAATCATGGATAGCTGTTATCATTAGACACTTAAATCACCGAATGTTGGACGGGAGCAGGATGCAGGACTTTCCCCCTCCCTCTAATTCCTTTGCGTTCCCATTGGATCACAGAGTCTCAAACTTGATCTCTGCAGTTTCAATAGCAGTTGTGCTTTTTTATTGGGTAGGATTACGAACCTTCTGTCTTCACTGAGCTTACTACTAGCTGAGCGGTGTTTAGGAGTGTACCGGACAGAAATTGATGCAAGGCTGTTATTCTGTTTATTATTCCAGCTTAGAAAACTTGTAACATCATCATAATCAACTGGTTCATCAGCTGAAAACTTGACAGATGTATACGTGAATACTTTTAAAGATATGCGCAGATAATGAATAGATAGTGGAATACAACCTGCTTTTGAATAGTCACTGGGATGTTGCCATTGTTATGAGTCTAGTCATCGGTACCCAAGTGAGATTTATCAATGAAAAACACTTCCATGGCTTCTTGCTGTTTACCTGCAAACAACTAACACCAGTTCAAAATGAACTACAATGCTGCAGCTTCTTAACTTAGTGACTACACTGAAAACTTCGTTGACAGAACCTAGTCAGCTCTAAGGTCTAGAAACGTGGCATTAGGTTACTATTCTTTGACCGATCAATATATCAGTTAAAATCCTAATGGAAATTAGTCGTCAGTCCGAATAGCTCAATGATAGTGTCTGTGATTGCCGTATTGGGTGAATCAGGTTTGACTAATTCTTCTAGACTGCATATACATTTCGCTGACGAGTACCCGTAGGCACTAGAACTGAGATTTGGAGGTTTTGGATACCACTTAACATAAATTCTACTTTCTTGTCACTCACTGTTAAAGTTAGATGATGAACGCCTTGAAATCTGGAGCGTTTATCAACTTTTCTTCTGCAGGATGACACGAGTTCATTTTACTTCTTCGGCTCCCTTCAGCTGCGTACATCCTAAATACCTTAGTTATATGTTACAAAATGGAGTCTAAACATACTTTTTATTATGATTTCAAGTTGTAGATGGAAATTATAGGGAAATAATTTCAAAGATGATGTAAGGAGACAATTATTTAGTGTTGAAAGAGTAACTATTTACTTTGATTGGACACTAGTAACTAGTGTGATGTGTCTACTCCTTTCTTTAGTGCAGACTGAATTCTATTAGTCAGGTTTGCAATGTGGCCACCATTCTAAGTAGCCAGGCATCATGGTGCACATTGACTTGATGATTTTAGATGGTTGGAGGCAATCGGCAACAATAAGCCTTTTTTGACCTACGTTTCATGCTAGTTGGCACTCACCAGTCAGTCAGCAAGGCGTATCTTCAACCTTGATCTAACTAATGTACCCCACCGAGAGATTCTAACCCGCGTCACCAGCCAGTGCTACAGACAGACAGTCAAGTTACCACTGAGCTATTCGTGCTCGTGACTGACTTCCTGTAGGAATGCATTGGATAGTTTGATTAGACAATATTTAAGTCTCTGACCACAGCACTGGCTGGTGATACGGGTTCGAATCTCTCGGTGAGATACATTAGTTCGATCAAAGCTGCAGATACGCGTTGCTGACTGACTGGTGAGTGCCAACTAGCATGAAACCTAGGTCAAGAAAGGCTTATTGTTGCCGATTGCCTCCAACCATCTAAAATCATCAAGTCAATGTGCACCATGATGCCTGGCTACTTAGAATGGTGGCCGCATTGCACTAAAGAAAGGAGTAGACACATCACACTAGTTACTAGCGTCCAATCAAAGTAAATAGTTACTCTTTTATCACTAAATAATTGTCTCCTTACATCATCTCTGAAATTATTTTGCCTATAATTTCCATCTACAACTTGAAATCATAATACAAAGTATGTTTAGACTCCATTTTGTAACATATAGTTAATGTATTTAGGATGTACGCAATTAAAGAGAATCTACGAAGTAAAATGAGCTCGTATTATCCTGAAAACGTGTTCTTTCCTTCTTTATTCAGAAGAAAAGTTGATAAACGCTCCAGATTTCAAGGCGTTCATCATCTAACTTTAACAGTGAGTGACAAGAAAGTAGAATTTATGTTAAGTGGTATCCAAAACCTCCAAATCTCAATTCTAGTGCCTACGGGTACTCGTCAGCGAAATGTATATGCAGTCTAGAAGAATTAGTCAAACCTGATTCACCCAATACGGCAATCACAGACACTATCATTGAGCTATTCGGACTGACGACTAATTTCCATTAGGATTTTAACTGATATATTGATCGGTCAAAGAAAAATAACCTAATGCCACGTTTCTAGACCTTAGAGCTGACTAGGTTCTGTCAACGAAGTTTTCAATGTAGTCACTAAGTTAAGAAGCTGCAGCATTGTAGTTCATTTTGAACTGGTGTTAGTTGTTTGCAGGTAAACAGCAAGAAGTCATGGAAGTGTTTTTCATTGATAAATCTCACTTGGGTACCGATGACTAGACTCATAACAATGGCAACATCCCAGTGACTATTCAAAAGCAGGTTGTATTCCACTATCTATTCATTATCTGCGCATATCTTTAAAAGTATTCACGTATACATCTGTCAAGTTTTCAGCTGATGAACCAGTTGATTATGATGATGTTACAAGTTTTCTAAGCTGGAATAATAAACAGAATAACAGCCTTGCATCAGTTTACGGCCACTCTACTCCTAAACTTCGCTCAGCTGATAGTAAGCTCAGTGAAGACAGAAGGCTCGTAACCCTATCCAATAAAAAAGCACAACTGCTATTGAGACTGCAGAGATCAAGTTTGAGACTCTCTGATCCAATCATCTGGTTCATCAGCTGAAAACTTGATAGATATATATGTTTTATGTGGATACTTGAAAAAGTATGCACAGATAATGAATAGATAGTGAAATACACGCTGTTTTTGATTGATCACTAAGACGTTGTTGAGTCTAGTCATCGGTACCCAAGTGAGATTTATCAATGAAAAACACTTCCATGGCTTCTTGCTGTTTACCTGCAAACAACTAACACTGATTCAAAGTGAACTGCAATGCTGCAGCTTCTTAACTTAGTGACTACACTGATAACTTCGTTGACAGAACCTAGTCAGCTCTAAGGTCTAGAAGTGTGGCATTAGGTTATTTTTCTTTGACCGATCAATATATCAGTTAAAATCCTAATGGAAATTAGTCGTCAGTCCGAATAGCTCAGTGATAGTGTCTGTGATTGCCGTATTGGGTGAATTAGGTTTGACTGATCCTTCTAGACTGCATATATATTTCTCTGACGAGTACTCGTAGGCAACAAGAACGGAGATTTGGAGGTTTTGGCCACCACCTCACTGTTAAAGTTAGATGATGAACGCCTTGAAATCGATAGTGTTCATCACTTTTTCTTCTGAATAAAGAAAGAAAGAACATGTTTGCAGGATAATACGAGCTCATTTTACTTCGTGGATTCTCTTCAACTGCGTACATCCTAAATACCTTAATTATATGTTACAAAATGGTGTCTAAACATACTTTTTATTATGATTTCACGTTATAGATGAAAATTATAGGCAAAATAATTTCAGAGATGATGTAAGGAGACAATTATTTAGTGTTAAAAGAGCAACTATTTACTTTGATTGAACACTAGTAACTAGTGTGATGTGTCTACTCCTTTCTTTAGTGCAGACTGAATTCTATTAGTCAGGGTTGCAATGTGGCCACCATTCTAGGTAGCTCGACATCACAGTGCACATTAATCTAATGATATTAGATGGTTGGAGGCAGTGGGCAAAAGGAAGCCTTTCTTGGCCTAGGTTTCGTGCTAGTTGGCACTCATCAGCAAGGCGTATCTGCAAACTTGAAAGAACTCATGTTCGCTTCTGAGACATTAACCGCTACCAGCGTGCTGTGGTCAGAGACGTTAATATTGTCCAATCAAAGTATCCAATACAGTCCTACAGAAGGTCAGTCGCGAGCCCGAATAGCTCAGTGGTAACGTGTCTGACTGTAGCACTGGCTGGTGACGCGGGTTCAAATCTCTCGGAGGGAGGGGGAGAAATGAGTTCTTTCAAAGTTGCAGATACACCTTGTTGACTGACTGGTGAGTGCCGACTAGAACGAAACCTAGGTCAAGAAGGACTTCCTGCTGTTTGCCTCCAACCATCTAATATTCTAAGACTGAAACATCAACGTAATATATTAAAATAATTTATAATATTTGTTTTATTTACAGACAAATGTATATGTATATACAAGAAATTATGCAATATGACATAAGCAATTCACACAATACTATCTGAACTTTCAAACAAATCGGTTCTGCGATACATATTATTATTATTACTATTGTTATAATTATTAACATCTCTTGTTTCATCAAACGGTGTTCCACCATAACACGTATGCAATGATCTTGTTTTCGCTGGATGGGCTAACAAATCCGCATTGAAAAAAACTGTCGGCTCGAGTGACTCATGTCGAGCTAAAAATGGTTTCGAATGTGGACATAATGTATGATGATAGGTTGGAATGTATGCCGAAGATGGTTTCAACAAAGCCATCTGTTGATCATAATCAATAGTTTGCTTGAGCCTTAGCGATGTTGATGATGATAGCTTTGGTTGAACTGGGCAGTCATTATTAGGATCAGGCTGAGAGAATGAATTGCCAGTATCCTTCTGATCTTTTGTGATACTACTCATTGTTGGTGGTTTTGTCGACATCAGTGAGGATGCTGATTGGATAGCCAGGAGTCTAGCTTCAAACAGATTCCATAAAGCGATAATTAAATCACTAATGATCAGGTCACCAGCATTGATAGATATTAACCATAGAAGGAATACACCGTCTAAATTTAGATAATTATGTACAAATAGTTTTAAAGTGATAGGATTCAATTCTGTTAAGGCTTTTGTCTCACTCCATGAATATAAAAACTTGCTAACAAAGGTGATACGACTGTTTGCTATCGTAAGACGTGATAACCATTTGAGTAGACTGTAGAAGGTCAACACTCCGACGAATACAATCCAAAACCATAAGAAGATGTATACTTTTTCGAGGAATAAATTCAATGGAAGGACACATTGTAGGGTATATCTGAAATTTGAGATAGAAAGAAAACGTTAGTTAAAGTGTAACTTAGTGTAGCTGATTTCAAATTAGATTATGAAATGGCATCAGTTAGAGAACTTTTGAGAACCAGTGATTACTGAGCAGTTGTAGTTCGGGACCCCTCACAATTACCCATGTATGATCTCATGTAGGATTGAAGAGTACGTCGGTGGCGCAGTGGTAGAGTGCTCGCCGACCACGCAGGTGGTCCGGGGTCCGATCCCCGGCTACCGACGCACTCCTTTACTTCGGTAAAGAGGGAAGGTTGGGCATGAGGCTAGCAACCCTATCCTGTAAAAATATGCACCACTGCTACAGAAACTTCAAGCCTCTAGCTTGAAGCCCTATGTTCCATTGGGAACGAAAAGAAATAAAAAATGGGTTGAAGAAAGGATCTGGTTTCCAGTGGTTCTCCCACTGATGTCAATTGATAATTTAACTCAAAATAAATCAGATCCCCAGCAAAATAATGCTTAAAAATTAACCTAATGTTCACTAGCGACTGGCTGTGGGCCGGGTTTCCTGGAATTCGATGGCACAGCTGTTAGGACTCTCACCGACCACGCACATGGTCAGGGGTTCGATCCTCTGCCGATGCACACCTGATATCTATGGTCGGCCGGCAAAATTTGGGCTACAGATATCACATGCTGAAAATTCCATACTTGTACCATAAGTGCTGTTAGGCACTTCGGTCTGCACAGTAGTGAATGAAGTGATTGTGCTGGCTCGTGCGCCATATCTATTTCAAATGGTCTCAGTATTCATAATAATGGCTTTATTCTGAAACATTGGTGTATATTTAATATAGAATTTTCAAAGAGTTTCATTGCAAGGTATTGTGCATAATCTTCAAATAATATACTAATCGATAACATATCATCTGAAACAATTTTGTTTCATCCGGAGATTTCTCTAGTACTACTTTAAAATGTCCTCTCTTCGCTTCCCTCGAAAAATTCCTGGGGGTAGGTAGAAATTTATTTGAAATAGTGCACAAGTACCAATCGTGACTCATAGTGGTAATAACAATTATTGTTATTATCTCCTTTAATTCCTAGAGGAACATAGGTCTTCAGCCGCACGTTTCCATTGCGTTCGGTTCGCAGCCAATGTTTTCACCTGGCTTCACGTCTGCCCATATGCTTTCATCTCCTCTTCACATGACCTGCTCCACGTCACACTCGCACTGACGACCAACTAACTCACCACTTCTTACTTCGCTTCCACTCGAGCAATGACCTGGCGTGTGACGTGACGCCATTTCTCTGATCCGTATAATGAGTAGCACTGACTTCACATTAAAGTTGAAAATCCCCATCTTGTTTTCATGCTGAGCAGTACTGTTCAACTACTCCACACAGACTTGACAGTAATGAAAGCTTACCTTACTTTCTTGATACCCGCTTTGATATCCTCGTCACTTCCGTCCGCCTGTATTTGGAACGGTGCTTCCCAGGTAGGTAGGTAGGTGAAGGAGGTTGTTTCTTTCAGATTTCCCCATTTACGTTGATTGTTGTCTGTTATTAATGGTGGTGCTGTTGGACAGGAATCTTCATCACCTCTGTTTTCTCTATGTTCACCCGAAGTGATGACCTATCTTTGATGTTTCTTCCTCTGTCAACTTGTAGCTTGTCACTTGCATATCACCCAGTTTGTGTGAAATCAGATATATATCATCGGCGAAATCCAGATCCCCCAAGTTTTTTTGTATGGGTCCATTTCATGCCCATTTCCACGTTGCTCTCTGTTTGTCGCATTACCCAGTCTACTGCAATCATGAAACGGGGTAAACACGATTCATTTTAATAGACAGGAAATTTAGGCAGTCTAGTGATTTAAGGAGGCCACGATTTAATGGACGTTGTTTAGAAAAATATTCATTGTACAAGTTACGAGTTGACAGGGGTTGGTACTGACCGATCATCAAATTCCAACCCATTGGTTGATTGATCAATAGGATATCCTTATAACACGAAGGTGCTGGGTTCAATACCCGTTAGGATAATGGGTCACCACTACTATAGAATCACAAACTAGGACGAAACAGCTATTCTTTTACCTTCTAACTAACGTTGCTTAGGAAATTCACATTGATATGAAGACTGAAATTATCTTTTTTTAAATAAAAATATAGATTTAAATCTACTCACTTGTAATTTTTCCCCAATTTTTTCGCCTCAAAATCACAATAAGTAACACGTGGAAAATGTCCTGTTTCACTCCATACATTTCCATTAATCAAATCTCGTAGAACTTGTATGCCGAAAAAGTAGGATTTAACACCTAAAAATACTTTCATTAAGTACAGCTGGGCAAATATATTGACTAAATATAACAATTTAACTGTCACATATAAATAGAATAGAAAACTGCTGCTTCGTTTAAAGCCTTTAATCTTTTGACTACCGCATAACCAGTGACATGAACATGCTGGGAGTAGACAGATCAAGGTGAGTAAGCACCTCAGGCATAACCATAATCCATAACAGAATTGATAACAGGCCTTTTTAATATGGAATGTTCTATGCGGAAGTTTTGATTTGTGTGTAGTTTGTTTTGTGTTACGTTGGGATAGTGACAGTTTGAAGAAGCCTGGTGAATCGCAGCATGGCCAACAGGAAGTTTTACGAGTTCGTGAGGTTGATCTATTGGCAGTTGGCTGGGAGGTTTGTAATTCTGTTGGAATGCAAAAAGAAAGACGTGATTTGAAACGCTTGAGTCAGTAAAGATTGGAAGTTATTAGAAGAATTTTAAGTTATACATTTATACAAATATATAGTTTTGAAAGACAACGCAGGTATCCCTGGAAGAGATAATAAAAGGTGCAGAATTCTAACAAGAACGTATTCCACATTTAGTGGAAAAAATATACCAGCAGAATAAGGGGATAGCCATGGCATCGCTTATCTCATCAACAATAGCGGACACAGTCATGGATTTTTTGAGACGAAAACACGCTTAAACTACTCACAACATCAATAAAATGTTGGTGGAGTTACGTAGATGACACGTCATTACTAATGAAGAAAAATAATGTGAGGAAACTCTTCCCAGACGCAAACAGTTATGTAGACAGGCTAAATTCACTGTGGAAATAGAGAATGAATTTGGAGAACTACCTATGCTAGGCTGTAAAACACAAAGAATAACAGACTCAGGCGTAAAAATGACGAATGTTCGATTAACTATATGGATCAAACGCGTAGATCATTCAAAATAAGAGTTAACGAACATTAAACGTCACACTAAAGGCCTTCAGGAGAACATAGAAAAAACAGAGGCGATGAAGATTCCTGGCTAACAGCAACAGAAACAGACAACAACAATCAGCATAAATGGGAGGGATCTGAAAGAAGCAACCTCCTTTACCTACCTACCTACACACCTAGCAAGCATCGTTTCACCTACAGGCAGATGGAACTGATGAGGACACCATCAAAGCGAGGATCGGTAAAGTAAGGTAAACTTTCATTTCTCTCAAGTCTGTGTGGAGATCAACCGCACTACTCAGCATGAAAAACAAGATGGGGATTTTCAACTACAATGTGGAGTCAGTGCTACTTATTGTGCGGATCAGAAAATTGGCACCACTTCACGAAGAGCACTTCGAACAAACTACAGACCTTCATCAACAGATGTCTTCGCTCAATTCTCCGCTCAAGATCAGATGATCGGCCAGAAAAGATCAGCAATAGTGAGGGACGAACCAACCCATTAGGAATCAATTGTGCAAGTGGATTGGCTGGCCATACTCTCGGAAAACAAACCATCAAGTGAGTGACATTACACGCCAGGCTATTGCTCGAGTGGAACCGAACTGAACGTAAGCTACGAGTTGATCGTCAGTGCGAGGATAACATGGTGAAGGTCATGCGAAGAGAAGACAAATGCATGTATGCAGACGTGTCGCCAGGTGAAAACGTTTGTGGAGAACCGAACGCAATGGTGAAATGCGGCTGAAGCCCTATGTTCCCCTAGGAACTAAAGAAAACAATAAGAAGAAGAATAAAGGTCATTCCACATGAACACAGGAGTGAGACGCAAGACACAATATTGACTGGGACGACATTTTCGTCCTGAAATCGAATACGAATAAATGGAAAGAAACAGTAATAACGGAGTCTGTACTCATTAATATTACCCTGATCACATACAACCAAGGTGACGCAACACAACTGTAAACATCCTGGAATGTATAGTTCTAGATGTACAAACACAAAGTAGCTGCAAATAGGGTTAGAAATTATGTGGGAATTAAAAACAATTCCACCAGCTGATATGATCACGGTCAGTAATTTTGCTTGAAATATTACCAAAATCAAAAATTTCCTAATGTGTGGAAAACGTCATTGAAATTTAGTGTTATAATAACGGTAGCATAAAATATTTCTCTCCATCTTTTCCATTCCAAGGTAGGAATACAGAGTGCACACACTCACTGTGTTACACTGGCTTAAGGAATCATGTTATCTTCATGAAAATTTCAGTCATTCTGGTGTAGACACTATATCCGGCTATCAATCAAGGGACGTGTCTACTATGCACCAGTTTCATGTGTCCACCTTTATGACAGTGAGATATGGTCAGTGACAGTGGAAGATGTGATCATAGGTGTCTAATCCTAGCTCCGAATTAACTGGTATACCATGGTGAGTAGTATCCATTATTTCATCAGTGATGGAACTAAGGACATTTAGTTTACGAGACGAGACCATTGATTATCTAGCTGTTTGTTCGGAATCCACCACCACCAGCAGTGTCATCAGAAGGTATTTATTCTAACGCCCGACTTTGTGGACCCTATTAGTCATAACTTCTCACTTGATAGGCGTGTAATTTCATTCTATAGTCAATCACTAGACTGATTTCCGACTGCCGGTTTTCAGGGATTTGATTCGTTCCCAGCTAAATCACAAACCGTAGGAGCAACTAATAATGAAAACATTAATAAGAGAGAATATAAGGCATCTACAGTTTTACCATGCAAGGAGGGGATATCTAAGGCCTTACGTACAATTCTTAATAAAGCAGGAATTAGAGTGGCATTTAAACCTACAAACTAACTCAGGTAGGACAAGCTCCGTAGGCTAAAGGACCGTGTTGGTTGACCCAGTTAGACAAAATAATATAATTTACAAAATACCTTGCAATGACTGTTAGTTAGGTCAACTACATAGGTCAAACTAGTAGGTTGAGGGTAGTGAGATTATCAGAACATTATCAGAATTTAGCTAAGGTTAGGATGATTGACCCCGCAAGGACAAGTAATTTAGAAAAAACTCAACAATTGCACTGCATGCACAACCACACAATGGGGTGGTGGGACAGAGTCAAAATTCTAAGAAGTAATATAGCTAGGTGCAGAGAGAGGTTGATTACTGAATCCTTGTTCATCAAGTTTACACCCCACATACCTGCAATAGGAATGACTCATCACTGATACCGGAAATATGGAAAAAACTACTACCAATCAAATCAAGTGATGGAAAATAATGGAATTATATAAACGAAGTTAGAAAGTTGTGCTCGAAATGTGGTCACCAGTAAATATTTCTTATTGTATAACAAACACAGTGAGACTTTATCAAAATAAATTTTACCCCTAATGGAATTATACTCTACCAGGGTGCACAAGTTTTATTCTTATATCTAGTCTGATTGTTTATTGTTTCGATTACCTTTTAGTGTGTTAGCCTGATGCTCTGTCATTTTAGAAACAGACTGTTTTTGACTATATAAACACACACCTGGTAGGTGTACTCAGTCTTGTTTTTCTAAATGAAGTTTTGTATAGCAAATGTAATGCGATAATGCATATTAATGTTAATAATAATCTGCTTTATTCCACAAAAACAGTACTTATAATACAGCAGGGAATTTTTAGCATTTGTCAGAATATTGCATCTCATTTACTCAAAATAAAAATAGAATTAACCATAGGAACTTTTCTGTATTTACAGTAGGAATAATGTCAAATATATGCAAAGTATAAAATGAGAATGATGGCTATACTGATAATGATAATGGTAATAATAACAGTGGGTTTTGTTTCAAACAGTATTGTCGATACAGTATGAAAATCTTAGCATGTTATAGAATATTGAATCTCATGTTCTCTTGGTGTAGCATGGTGAGGGAGAACACAAAAAATAACGGTTACTGTGGGGCTTAAATGGTGTTTACAGTTATGAAAACGAAACAAGGCGACTATCAATGTGATAGGAATAATAACAGTGAAACTTGATGGTATAAGGATGGAGAAAATTGTTTGTTTACTAGTGGGAAGAAGGTTGGTTAATTAGTTAATTCGTGCCTGACACTATTTTCATCACATAGAGTACGTGCTAAATATGGTATCATGAAATGTTTATACGTAGATGTACGTGCACCAAGTCTTCTGAAAAGACTTCTTGTTTTACCTGAGGAGGAGACACAAAGTTGGAGCTGCGGTTGCTGTAGTGGATGCTCGCAGTTTGACAAAATTCCTTCAGCAAATTTGTTGCATGAAATCAAGTGCCTATCAGTGACGATGTTAACGATATGGCCCAACTGGATACCCCTTGCCCAGCTGACAACCAGTCTTCAGAGTTCTACGAAGTATGACATAGTTTCTTTTAAGCAATCCAGGAAAGAATAAGCAAGGGTGAACAGTAAAGAAGAGTAGGTGAGATGCACGAGTTGACAAACAGTAAGAGGGGGAGGGGTTGAGCTATACCCTAGTTCCTTGACTTCTCAATGTAACACTCTTTCAGAAATCTCTAAGACAGGAAGACCAGGATAGGTAGGAAGAAAGAATTAGTCCAATATAACTAACGTCTGACTTGGCTTCTATATCACTATCATCAATTTTACAATGGTCATTGGAATTAAAAGCTTCATCAGTTAACTTTCTTTTACATGTACAACTGAAATTAACAGTCTGATATTGAGAAGCAATTAGGGTGACACCACTAGGCAAAGATCATTTGCTAACTTCTGATAAAAAGCTATTCATCTTACTGCAATCTAGATGTTAGTTAACAGGCATTGAAATAGTCAGATCATCAGCATACTTAACAAAATTCATCTGAGTGAGACAATTCATGCAAGAAGAAAGAAAACTGAAAGGGAGAAACAACGGCACCTTAAGGAATGCCTACCTCAGTAAGCAATGAAGCGGACGACCTCCCCTTACATACAGTGTACTACATTCTTCTTGAGAAGTAAGACTGCTGCCAGTCGAGAACGCAACACTCAGTTTGAGTTTCAACAAGATTGTTTAACAAAATATCCCTAGGTACCACCGAGTCAAAAGCAGATGTGTAATCTAGGAAGGCACAGAGAACTAATTTAGCCCCTTTGTCAAAACTAGAAACAATGTTATGATATTTTCTATTACTTTTTACATCTTCAGTCATCTTACAAAATGATTACAAAAACTGGGGAGTAACCTTAAAACTGGTTTATTTCTACCTGAACACTTGTCACTTCCAGATGCTTCTGATCGATCCTTTTTTGAAACTGTATTAAATTTCAAGTTTGATCATGGGTTGATATCAGTTTAAGAAGCGTTGAAAGCAAGCAGAGACTACTCGGTATTTGTTTCGCCTTAGTTTGGGGCTCATCGGCTGTACGCACACATCACCAGCCTTAGATCTGCCGGTTTCAAGTCAAGCTCGTAGACCGTCCAGACACTGGGACCCGA